ACTATCTATGAAGATTGAAGCCGAAAAAAGTTAATTCATCTATTTTAATAAACTGAATGCACAAAAAATAGGTTTTTATATTTATCATCAGTAAATCCAATGTATGATGATATCTAAATTTATGATTTATGCTGTCTAAATGCGACAAACAGTTTAGTACTGTATAGATTGAGAGTGATTAGTTGACATGACTATGAAGATTGAAGCCGAAAAAAGTTAATTCATCTATTTTAATAAACTGAATGCACAAAAAATAGGTTTTTATATTTATCATCAGTAAATACAATGTATGATGATATCTAAATTTATGATTTATGCTGTTTATCTAAATGCGATCTAAAATCCTAATTCCTCCTGAGGATTTCACCCCTAACAAGTCACAGCTGCAGATAGAAAAAGCCATTTCATCAGTCACTTCAGTTTCTGATCTTTCTGTTGTATGTGTACACATTACAGCATACACATTACTATAAAATCTACCTATTTCAATCTTATTTCTCAGGGAGACACTCCTATAACTGAGGTCCTGCAACAGGGATACACACTGTAAAAATGACCATGAATTTAACGGTAAATGACTCTAAAAATGCTACAATAAAAACCTGTTAAATGGTTAACGGTACGTTCCCCTACTATAAATGTTGAAAAACTTTATTAGACATTACATGTAATTTTACGGTAGTATACCGTTTTTGGAAGTGGAAAAAGAACATATAATTTACAGTGAATAACCGTAAATTGACATTCCCAGAATTCCCTGCGTTACATTTCAAATTATTTTTTTTTAAATAAATATGTTTCTTAGTTTTTTTTTTTCTTATCAGTTGTGTACACATCGTTGTATGTTACATCTAATGTTGTTAAATTAATGTTTATTGCATTATTTCAGTTTCATGTGTGTTAACATGATGGTTTTTAGTGTTTAGTAGATTTCAGTATTTCAATAGGTTGGTATATTAACATTATATCAGTTATCACATATCATTATATATCATTATATCATTATAACAATTACGGTATTAAAATTTAAGTTAAATCCTTAAAACCTGAAATGTTGCTACCATATTTTTTATGGTAAAAAGCTGGCAACCAAAGCTACCGTTTTTTTTACCGGAATTGTTTTTTGTTTTTTTTACAGTGCAGTGTTAATAAAGCTGTGCCAGTGTTTGTTTGGATTGGACACTATTGTGGGAAGCCTTTGAAACAAACAGTGACCAGGGTACAAGGGATCTTCAATAATATGTGTGTCCTGTTGGCTGTTCTGGACCTCTAGAACTGAGCAAGAGAGGGAATCTGGCAGCGATTGCTGTATCAGAGCACCAGATAATGCGCTGTAGCTGTTTCTTTGAACAATCATTAGCAGAGCCAAACAATGACAGAAGACACGATTGCATCTGTAGAACTGTACTATATCTGACGACGTTCATGCATTGATGTGCTTTCTGACAGACTGAATGTTTTCATCTGAGAGTGTTTGAGATGATAATTAGACCAAACTGACTGGAGAATCTTTGATTGCCTGAGAGGAAAGTGCTGGGGTGTGTTTCCTCAAATCAATTTCAA